TTTTCACTTCAAACCAATGTTTTTATTACCTTAAAGACATACGAAATATCTCTGTGCCAGTTTTGCTACGACGTTTCGATATTTTACTTGTCTTAAGGTTCGCACCAAGAGTACTGATACAAAAATAAGTATATTTTTGAAAAATATACTATCACAATTTTTCGAATAAAATAGTTTTAACTCGCGGTAAAAACAAAGAAAAATAATTTAATAATAACAATAGGGGATGATTGTAAAGAATCTATTTATATTCAAAAATTGAATAATATCTTCTCATTTTCTGCTTTACTTTTTATTTAAAAAATTTTTTACTTATTAAAATACTTCAGAATATGATGTGTTGCTGTTTCAAATGTAAAGGTAATGAATGTATGTACATATTTCTCTTACTTTGACAACTAGTATGACATGATATAAGCATAAGCACATGCCGTATGCAATGTATTTATTAGTTATTATCAGTCAAGAGAGTAAGATGTGATTTTTATACAATAATACAATGTATACTATATTGCTGTCTTGTTTAGCAATGTATATGATGTTGTGTTGAATTTATAATTGAATTTATTATTGTAACTTATATCTACTTCTCTTTAATCAATATGTACACATATAGAAGACAATATATATTGCATAAATATGTACATTATGCAAGTCTGTGTCTAAAATCTTTTTATGTAATAATTTTTGGGATTTTGCATATTCATAAGACGGATATATTTACAATTTCGAACAAAACAGCAACTACCATATTAGTGAAAGAGAAGCTTCGATATTTTTGGTGTTTTCCGTACACCGTGTGATAAAAATTGATGGAGTAAAATATAAAACAACTTACTTTTCCTGGACGTCTTCAAATGCAGATCCAATCCCACAGTCTGGGTGCACATCACAATTATGCACGGCCTATATGTACATATAAGCAAATCATATGCAAATCATATTTGTAATATTACTGACATAAATCGCACTTGAAAAACATATTTAATAATTAGCACATAAATGGAAAAATATCTGTAATGAACTTACTTTAACATTATTCATGATATCCATAATATCCCACGCTGGATTACTGTCCACAGATGGTGATATAGCATCTCTATGTAATGTCCCTCCATCAATGTTGATTTGATCTGCAGGACAAATTATAATCATCATTATATCATAGTATAAAATATTATTCGTCATTTATTATTTAATTACTATTACTCTTACCATCACTATCCAATTGCGAGATAGGACTTTTCGGCCTAGGCCTTGCAGTGAGACGCGAGGCTATTCTTTGTGGAACATTGGGTACCGCCCCGTCTTCATCGGCTTCCAGATCCGTGAACATATGGCTGGGATTCGACACTTTTTGCAATAATTCTAAAGCCAGTCTCTTACTCATCTCTCCTTGGAAAAACGCATGCTACAATTCGAAATACCTCCTATAGACTATATATACATTGATAATTATTTCATAAAGATATTATATTTTCTTTGGTTACATACCAAAATGTTCTCTCCAAGGAAAATTTTACTCAATATATAGCATAATATTCTAGTATAATATTGTGTACTATATATTTCGGATAAAATTTTCTTCGGAGAAGATATTTTGGAAAATATAGACTTTATAAGTAAATCTATCAATAATAAAATAACAATACCTGAAGCAACTTCTCTGCTGTCGGCCTTTTTTTCGGATTTTTTGTGAGGGCAACTTTGACAAAGTTATGGAACGTTGGACTCCATTTATCGCGATCCTTCAATGTTGGTGGCTTGAAGCCAGATTTGGACATGAGAAACAAGGCGCGCATCGGATGTAGGTCAAACATTGGTGGCTGTAATTCCGCTAATTCAATCGCAGTTATTCCACATGCCCAAATATCACATAATTGATTATAACCACCTTTTCTTTCCACGGCTGCCACCTACATTATAAAAATATCAGCTATATTGATCCTCTTGTAAATTATAAAATGTGTTAAATACCTATTGATAAACATGAACATACCTCAGGAGCCATCCAATAAGGTGTACCGATAAAACTCTTTCTCTTGTTAATTGTCGCTGTGATCTGCGCCGATACACCAAAATCTGCCAATTTTACATCACCAGATTCGGTCAACAATATATTGGCACCCTTAATATCACGATGCATCTTGCCCATGCTATGTAAGTAAGCTAAACCAGTGAGAGTCTCCCGACACATATATGCTATTTGTATTTCTGTTAATGGTCCAGTTACTAGAAATATATTAAAACTCAATATTACAACTGCTGCAGAATCAAATTTAAATTATTTAAGACTATACATTGTATATCATACATATATCTATATATTGTATTATGTAATTTTATATATAATTAATCTGTAACATTTATAAATTATATGATAAGCCTATTCTTTTTAAATACTGTTTGAATATTTTAATAATTAAAATCGTTTGATATGTTATTGTCTTTTTTAATATATTACATAAATATTAAGTAATAAATATTTCACATACTATGATATATATCCTGTAATGATCCACCTCCACAATATTCCATACATATCCACAATTTGTCTCTTCTTAAATAACTTCCATAATAAGCAATAATATTTGAATGCCTGCAGTCCTTCATCATTAAGATCTCCTGTTGAATGATTGCAAAGTCATCACCTAAAAGACATACATACAGATGTTGCAAATTATCCTACTTTGTAACACTAAAATTTATAACACCTCAGCATTTTCATTAAGAGGGAACAAAGTACATACAAATAGATAATCTAAACATCAGAATATATACAAGTGTTTCATATCGTTTACACTTCCATATCATCTTACATGACTTGTATAAAAAATTGCAAAGACACTTTACAAAAAGAATATTTTGTACAAAGTAAAAAATTGATAAATAGTCGAATAGAGTAGTCGATTATGATGACCATACGATATTGGACACTCCGTGAACATTCACTCACCTGGCTCAAGTTTGATAACCTTAATCGCCGCAAGATCATTCATGGAGAGACGTTTAGCCTGCAGAGAAGAAATACAATAATTGGCATGAGCATTGACGGGAAGATCAAGCCTAAGGAAATACCGACCTTATAGACATCGCCGTAGGTCCCACTGCCTATCCTCTGTATAAGCTCATACTCGTCCTGGGGATTTCTACGGCTTATGTCACTGGACAGCGCATTTGCGTTTACCGCAGCCATCGCAAGCGACGAGGACGTACCGAAAGACAGAAAAAAGAGGAGAACGAGATAACCAGGGCCACGTGGACCTGGTCTCAGCGTCCGCGAACCGATACGCGTTTATGTGCAACCGCGTCTAGGCAGCATAGCGGGAACATTTAGCCTGTTGAAACGTCACATCATCCGTCGAAACGTCGCCATTGTTCGCAACAGCTAGCGCCGCTAGTGGTCAAATGGAGTTTAAAGTACTACACGTTTGCCGAATTCATCTATATAAAGACAACTTTGATTAATTCGAAATTATTATTAATAGGTGTTCTTATTAGCTAATTTTTTTGCATAATTCATTTCTCTTCTTTTTTTCTATTCGTTTTAAAGGAGAAAAAAAATGTATTGTGGGATCTTAAAGTCATAGAAAATTGACCTATCACAAACGAATATAAAGAAAATAATCAATTAATGATTGGTCAATTTTCTACAGTTTAAGTCTCGTCTACAACTATTGGGTGCTTTCCATTTAAGGCGTCATTCACTAACCCCAGCAAACAAGAATGGATTGAAATGAATTGAAATGGATTCAGATTTTCAGAAATATTGATTCACGAATGTTAAAATGAATGTTTTTCAATCCTGAATGCATTTTTATTCATTTATAGAAATTGCATGGAGCATATCTCTATGCCTTTCAATCTAAAAATAATATTCTTTTTCTGTGCACACACAACACATTGTGAATACTATTCAATTCAAAATTTTGAATAGAAAATGCAGTTTTTCAATTCAATTGCATCCAATTGAATCTAATTGAATCCAATTCAATCTAATTCAATCCAAAAAAAGTATTCGCTATTTAAAATACGCATTCGGATAGAAAATTTCCATTCATTTTAATTCATTCTCGTTTACTGGGACCCCAATTACATCGTGGCTGTGTTCCAAATTTACTGTCAGCACTGAAAATATTACAATTGACGTTACGTGCATTATAGATTTTCAATACTGGCAGTCACTTTTAATATTGGGTCATCTAAAAAGTATCCGCGGTTTTTAGATGACCCAATATATTTACAATTTATTTTTATTAATTTTTATAAAAGATGCAGAATCGATCTCCAGAGAGAAACCTGAGAAAGGACATGACGGCTCAAAACTTATAACCGCAAAATGCTGCCGCGCATTATTGCCTTCTGACAAAGTGGATGTAAACTATATAGCAACGTCCACTTTTCAAGGTTAGAGATGATAAATCGATATTTGGTTCATATAATCGTGTTACACGTAACGTGATTATATGAACCAAATATCGATTTATCATCTCTAGCCTTGAAAAGTGGATGATGTATCCTGAAGCCTTGTGTCCACGATGCTAGAAATCGGTCGGATCTCGGATGAAGAAGGAATTGACTAATCACAATGATCATGTGATCAAATGTGATTTATTAAATTTTCTTTGTCCAAGATCTCTTATCAATTTCTAGCATCGTGGACACAAGGCTTAAGAAAAGTGGACGTTGCTATATAGTTTACATCTACTTTGTCAGAGGGCAGTAGTGCGGCAGCATTTTGAGGTTACAAGTTTTGAGCTGTCATGTTCTCTCTCAGGTTTCTCTCTGATTTCTACAATAGCACTTACTCACTTCAACGAATTCGTTGGATTGCGATGGGAATAAATCTAGTGAGTTTTGTGAGGAATTTTGACAGAGTGAAAAAAGGATGAAAAGATAAAGAAATTTTAGATGGTAACCCTGGCAACGTTAGGTAACTTACTTATTTCACGCATGCGCATTCCATTTTAGCCAACACCAGAGAGTAGACTAACATCAAAGGTGCCGACAGAGAGTTGCATTACTGTATATATTGTGTTCTGCACATGCTCCGACTGAATACAAGAAAAGGAGTTTATTACGTTCGCGGTGTGTTTACATAATATTGTAAATAAATTATTTATCGCGTGTGATATATTTATATGTATTTACTCGACGTGTGAAGAAATGGCGTTTACGTTCGGAAGTCCAGCGGTCACCTCTGCTAGCACGGGTTTTGGATTTACGGCGCAAAAGTAAACTATAGTCGATGCTAACATTAACCTCCAAACAGTAAAAAATTATTATAGCTTTAATAAATAATAACATAAAGTTCTTTTTTTATTTAATACATATTTATTGCAAATTGAAACTATAAAATTATTTCTCGCAAAAGGGAAGAAGACTTGATGTTTAATTGTAAACTCTTGTTCTTAGACCAACGACAGGCTTTGGTTTGACCAACACGTCGTTCGGCACTCCCACTACAACATCTGGCACATTAACATTTGGCGCACTGTCTACTCCAACGACTTCTATAGGTCTCAATTTCGGATTTGGTACTTCAGCAACCTCTACACCAGCACAATGCAGTAATCTCCTTCTAGGATCCAACACAGCTACTACAATGACTACCGCTCCTAGTTTATTTCCTACCCCTACAACATCCACACCCTTATTCACGGGTCTCAGCTTTGGTACACCAGCTACAACGAACACTCTAACTTTTGGTGCCACATCTAATACAACAGCAACAGGAAGTTTAACTTTTGGTACAGCTACTACCAACAGTATGTATACTTTATACTCTATTATTCTTATTTGTATATTATTCTTGTTTGTATTATCCATCTTTTTGCGATTACTCTGTAATACAGTTATAGTGTTGATTTTGACACTGATAACCATTGTAGCTGTTATTTTGATTGGTTTATATTTTATTCTTAAAGCCAATGAAATATATACATTGTTAATAAACTATTATTCTAATAAGTAAGTTTTTTATTATGATCGATTATCACAAATTATATGCAGCTCCCTTATTCGGTTCTGGAACTGGAAGCACTTTATTGGGTTCAAAACCAACGACTGTTCTTACTACTACAACTACCAGTAAAGGACTTGGTGGTTTAGATGTTTCTGTTAATAATAAGGGTCTTTCTCAAGGAAATAGTAGTTCAACAGCAGCCAAAGAGAATCTATTGCCAAATGAGCTTATGCAAACTATAGACAAATTCAAGTAATTATGAATAAAATGAATCATATAGAAAATAATTGACTTATATATAGACAGATAAATTATTTTAATATACAAGATGTGCATGTAGTGCAGTAACTTGTATTTTACAGGGAATTTGTAAAAATGCAAAAAGGCCTATCTTCTGATATTGCAAGAGGTTCGGCAAGACCATTAAATCGATGTGCGGAAGATACAGCGTCCCTAATGGAAATGTTGTCCACGTTATCTGGCTCAGTGCAACGAGATCGTTCTTCAGCTGATAAGCTGAAGCAAGATACTGCTAGAGCATTGCAAAGTTCTGAAATTGCTCAAAGAACACATGATACTCCGGCTGGTTTGCAATATGAAAATAATATGCCCTTACAGTTCTTCATGGAATTAGCTGAAAATTTCGAACAAGATTTGATGTTATTCAGATCACAAATTGAGACAACTGAGAAACACATACAAACTATGATGGCGCCGAGAACTTTAACCCCACAAGGTACAATCTATTCTTTCATTAAATTTATTTGGATTAATGAGAAACATATTGTTAGTGGTATATTACTTTGTCATTAGAATTGACGGCGACCATGAGTAAGCTTCACGAGTCTTTAGTAGCAGTAGCTGGCCGACTGCAAAGTGTGCATGCTAAAGTACAACAACAGAAAGAACAGTATCTCAATTTCAGGAAATACTTGTTGAAAGATAACACCAATGTTTTCGACAGTATTAAGGTGAACAATAAATCTAATCGAAGCAGCATTGGCAAAATCACAAGTGGTCCCACTCCTTTTGGACCAGGTAATTTTACATGTATTTCAAATTATTTCGAATATTGTAGATTTTGAAAAACGAGATTAATGCTTACAGGAAATAAAAACTTTTTGTCATCGACGACATTAAACTCAAATCGGCCAGCGAGTTACGAAACACGAAATCCTTTAGGTAAATAAGCCTTACTGTTGACCATTTTGTAATTTAATTATCCTTATGCTAAGTAAAAGATTCCTTAAAAAAAAAAAAAAAAGATGATTTTAACCGTCCCCCTAAAGATTTCCTACCTTCAGGTCTTGCCTGGATCTAGTTATGAGGTAGAACTTACTAACATATAACGACGTTTATTACTAAATAGAATTAACGTGCAATTATTTAGCTGTCTACTTTCTTTTTTTCTCCTTTTCTTCCTTATTTAACAAAAGATACAGTCTTTTGTTTTTATCTTATTTGACTTTGATTTTGCCTTTCAGGAAAAAAAATAGGGGCTGTAATTTAATTATTGAGGTATTCATTTTTTTAATTTCAGTTTCTTTTTGTTATTGTCGCGATGGAAAAAGGGTAACGCGCTTCTTTGCCTGTATATAAATCTCTTATCAAGTAACTAATTAATTTATATAGATAATTACAAATTGTTAATCTTTTATATACTTTGCATTGAGATGCTATTAAAGGATTCAATTTCAAAATTATGCTTTCTTAACAGATAATAATGCCTTCTATAAGTGTGCTTTAAGTGCTTTCGGCTTTGCCAATGTTGTGCAGTAATGCTTGCAAATATGGATATTATTCAAAAAATATTGTCGCATTCGTCACGGAGTCAAACAAAATTTTGCAGGATATATGTAGAGATGTTAAAATACACATCCCTTGCAATTTTTCAACCGATTTTAAAGTGGAAATTTAAGGGTAAAAAAAACTATAAGTGTAGATACAAATATTTGTATGGTGATATAATAAGAATGTCCATTAATATAAAAACATCAATTATACATTTAACAATAAGTAGAATTAACATGATAAAATTAGCTGATGTTTTGAAATATAATTATCATCTCAAAAATATGTGAACGCTGTCTTATCTTTTTAATGGTAAAAGAGATATTACTCCGTGGCTTTAGCTTACACATGTTTCTTTACAGCACTTCCAAGTGAATTAAAAGTAACAATGTTAATATATATATTGTTACAGTTTGGGAAAGTTCAACACCAGTACCATCTGCTACTAATATTGCTATAGGCTCATCTACGAAACCGCCAACAGCAAGTTTAAATTTTAATGCGCCAATTAATTTGACTTCACCGTTGCCAGTAAACGGAACCAGCTCAAACTTTCAACTTCAAAAGCCTCCCGTTGGAAATAAACGAGGGAAACATTGATCATTCGTTTCGAATTATTTTTTTATAACACACAATTGTTATCTTCAACACACGTTGTAAAGTCTCCTCTACCAGATTGTTAACGTTAATAACCGTGTTAAAGCAAAAGTATTTTTATATTGATCATTATTAATCATTGTGATATTCTTATCTTTTTTTTACATGTGTTGTCGATATATACATAGCTTTATTGGAATTTGTACCTTATGTTACAGATATTCCGTATCTTACACATCAACCATACTTTTATATTATTAAATATCTAAAGTGTAGTTATTTTGTAATTGTGTGTGTGTGTGTGTGTGTGTATGGTGTGTATGTATGTGTGTATGGTGTGTATGTGTGTGTGTGTGTGCATTCCTAGTGCACAGATGCATTAAAACCATTTTCTATTAAACCTCTAATGAATCCCAATGTAAATGTGTACATGTATTGTCATATGTATATATCTGTAACTATCTTATATTTGATGACAATGCGAAATACTGCAAAAATTAATAATGGCAAATAATACATTCAGTTAAAAGATCTAAATAATATATTGTTAATGGAATTAACAATAAATATTGGTCCCTTTCTCGAATATAGATACTTGAAAGATAAAATGGACAATGTTTACGAAACGGGGAAAAAGGTAATATTATGCTTTATGCTTATTAGAAATTGTATTTAATCTAGACGATACCGTTAAATATAAAGTATAAAAGTGTTTTTTTTAAATATATTTAATCTAATGAATTTGAATTATTCATTAGATTGCACCAACTTGTAGAATAGGAATAAGAAGTCTAAAGGCATCTTGAATATATGAATTTGCATTTGCAGCCTGTGTGAAAAAAAATTTTTAATATACAATCATCATGATACTTGAATTATTCAACCAACTACTTACTTCTAAGAAAATTGTTGTTGTATTCGCATTGATGTTATCTGGGTTTTTCGCAGTCTCGGCAAATCGATGTAACGTATCACAAAATGAATTGGCCAGTAAGCTAATCTGATTCGATAGAATATTGGTGAGTTGTACCAAGGCATCTGCTTCGTTCACTGTACTGCGACGTTCTTTAATTAACAACAATTCTGCTGTCTTATGAAATCTCTCTACAGAGAGTGCTGTAAACTGTGCCAATGTCGATATAGCATTCTGAAAGATCTCCTGATCTGTACGCGTCGTGGATGATGCAAGATAATTTTCCGTTTCTGTCCAAACCTGAAAATACAGAATTGTTTTCGTCATAACGATGAACAGAAGTCTTTTGATTTTGATAGGTATATATTTTCTTACATCATATAATTTTTCATAAGTAATATCAACTCCAAGATCGTGACAAGCGTTCTTTAATCTATTTTTCAAATCTTTATCATTTTTATCCTCATCGTCATCTTCATCACCTAAATCACAAAGTTCCTTGATTTCTTCTAATGTTTCTTGCACAGATGTTAAGTCATTCGTATCCAGCTCAATTAAATATTGTTGAATTTTTATATTGCTCTGTTTTGATAACATTTCCAGAGCTTCTAAGTGAACAAGTCCTTGATAATCATCGAACAAACTCTCGTAATGCACTTTCCTTGCTAATTCGCGCTCCTCGATTGTTTTCTCTTCCGTTTCGGCTTTTTCCTTGGCTTCTCTGAGAATTTGCGATAAGTTTGGTTTCTCTGGTTCATTCATGAAAAAGGCCCTTTTTTTCTTTAATCCTGGATCACCTTCTTGCAATACCTCCATTGTTTTCTTTCCGATAGCCTCCAATGTATCTAAACCACCCGTCATAACTTTGTTACCGGTGGATTCAACCAATTTTGTAATTGAAGATACTCCTGATATCAAATTCCCAAATCCGAACGAACTGAACGATCGACTTTCTTGTTCCTGGATCTCCAGCTGTGCACCTATTAATAAATTAGCAAAGATATAATTATATACGTTATATGTTAATTATTTATTTTCGTATGATTGATATATTCAGTGCAAAAATAGAATGTTACAAATATATAAAATAAGAAAAAATTATATACGTTATTAAACATACATACAAAAATGATAGTGCTATATAGAATTTACACTAAATATTATACCATCAGTTTCAGTAACTGCATTCTGCTTTATTCTTTCCAATTCTGTAGGATCCTGTACTATTGTACCTTCCAAAAGTGTAAGTCCTTGAGACACATGATTAGTTAGAGTAGATACACTTGCAGTAGCTGTATTGATTAACGAAGTTACACCCCAATTTCCCCAACTGCCCCAGCTTCCTAAAGAATCTTCGTCTTTGCTATCTTCTTTGTCTGCCAAGGAGAGCCTCTGTAACATAGGCTGTAATTTCTCTTCTGTCAATTCATCAGGCAACTCGACGTCATCTCCAAGTCCTTCCCAACCTTCAGGCTGAAAAACTTCTTTAAATTTTTTATTTGACTTTAATTCTTCTGGCATGTCTATTTCCGACAAATCACTTGATGGTCTAAATTGATTACCTGTTACTTGAGTTTTTGATTTTTCTTCTGATTTACATTCTGTATTTTTGTCCATAAACAGTAAAGATTTCTTATTTGAATACTTGGCTGCATCTTCCAGTTCTGTAGCTATATTGACGCAAGGTTCATCGATCTTATCCTTTGTAAGTCTAGTTCCTAATTTTTTTGTATCCAACTGGCAAGCAGTACCTTGTTGTTTTGTTTGGGAAATTTTTTTGTTATCCAACTTGGTTTTTGTAGCTTTTACTTCAGACATGACATCTGATTCTAAGATCTTATTATTTTCTACCACAGATTCTTTGCCCTTTACTGATATCGTAGAGGTTGATGAGAATTTTCTTGACTTAAAGGGGGACGTAGTCTCTCGTTCATTAGAAGCTTTTTCTACACAATCAATCGACTTGGCAGTACATGTATCACTTTCAACTTTGACATTACTATCTATCTTATCATCCTTATTATCGAACAAGGTCTTTCGACCAGTCAACACATCTGGCGTCATTCGGAAAGTCTCAGACCTGCTCTGCCAGTTGGTGATATCGTAAGTATCGCGTTGAACATATTCATCATCTGACTCGGAGTCAACCGTCGTTCGATAGACTGTCGTCCGGATATTTCTCTTAACGACCCCGCGACCCAATTCCTCGTCAGCGCTTTCAAAGTCGGCGTCGCTTTCGGATGTCGCCATCTCTACGTATAACGGGTCTGTCCCTGGAAAAGACGAGAAATCCTGTGAACACGTTCGGTAGATCTTGACGCTTAAGTACCTGTCGCGATTGTCGCGAATCGAAGAATTCAACTTTTTCAACGTCAAGGCGTAAGCCAGCGTAAACTTGCGTCAACATATGCTCCACATCATATTCCGTACACGCACACACATATGTGCGTGCGTGTGTTTATATATACGTTGACGGTCACGTGGGTCGTAGAGGACGGAGTCATCAGACAAATACGTTAAATTCACAATCATTCGCAATACGCCTTCGTGGCGTTCGCTTCGCTGTGACGATTGCGCATGCGAGACGATCTCGTCTGATCTCGTCTGCTCCGGGTTTCGGTCCGGGGCAGTCCGTTGCACTCCGTCGAAGCCTCATAAATTAAATGCCAGCTCTGCACTTCTCTTGTGCGCATGGCAGTTGAAACGCAAGCGGCATGTTCGCATGTTGAAGAAATTGAATGAGAGAGAGAGAGAGAGAGGAGGTAAAAGGTGTAATGAACGATCATATATCGTTCAAAAATATGATGTTTTTTTTTCAGCAGAGGAAGGGAGCAGATTTCTACAGTCATTACAATCTGTCAACACAGATGGTTAAAAGATATTTTATTTTTCTTTTAAAAGATTTTCGAACTCTGTTCGGCTATAATGACTGTTTCTATTAATTAATGTAGATTAATTTTAATCTCAGTTTAATTTCATTTTTTTTTTATTAATTTTTACACATACACATATTAATACACACCATTTCTATCAATGCAGATTGATTTTTCTCGGTTCAATTTTTTCTTCACTTTTTTAATTCTTAAAACTAAAAACAGATGAGTTATATAATTGAACCAGGATTAAAAATAATCTGCATTGATAGAAACGAATATAAAGCTTTGTGTCCAAGATTTGTGATTCTAGAAATCTTAAATGGAAAAAGAATTAATCAATCGCATTGTATGATCAAGATATTCAAATATGCAGATTTGTTAATTCTTTTATTATCCAAGATTTCGAATCGATTTCTTAAGGCTTTAGAATTAAAAAAAAGATAAAAAATAAGTTGAGTCAAAATTGAAATTAATCTTCTATATTAATAGAAACAGTCACAGGGAAGAAAGTTTGCAAATCTCTTTTGATTTCGCATCTCATCAAGACTGTGTTCGTTTTGATCACAACACTTTAAACTTCGTTTTCATCCTTGTTTATTAAACAAAGATATTCAGGCGCTAGAGATATTCACGAGCGCTAGAGATATTTACGGCGCAAGATATTGGGTCATCTAAAAAGTATCCGCAGTTTTTTGTCACTAGATGTGTTGACCATCAACACCATCTAGTGACAAAAACCGCGGATACTTTTTAGATGACCCAATATAAAAAATATTTGCAAGCGCTGTGAGCATCAAAGCGAACGCAGCCCAAATGTATCTACAATTTCGCGCCCTATACACTTGCTTGAAACAATGGCTGCGATCGATTTGGACGCTTTCAGCGCTTTTTAATACTTCTATTCTTATTTTATGTCCAATGAACGATAAAGACAGAATAATAATTACAAGCGCTTAAAGCGCATCAGTATCCAAATCGATCACACCAATAGATCTGTTCGCGTTGCTTGCATTCGACATCTTCGTTTTCTCTCTTTTCGTAATACGAATACATATTTTTATCTGATTTCAAGTGCAAAAATTTTTAAAAATTTCAATCAACGCAACGAATTTAATCAGAATGCACCTGCATCCTGTATGTACGGTGTATTGTACGGTGGTGCCACTTTTGCGACGTAGCGGCAAATATGCGAGGCATATGAAAGGGCAAATACGCTCGTTTATTCCCGCTGCCTCTCCTGCGCGCGCGCGATGATCAGTCGACACATACGAACTACCGGCGAAGTTTGAAAGGAGACAGCACAATTGGCGCCGGTACGAGAGTGACGAGGATAGCTATGCGGTCGAGAAATCGGTGCGGGTGGAAGGGACGACCGAGTGAGCGACGAGGACGGACGTCACGAGTTGGACGAGTTAAGACACACGTCACGACACGCTGGTGGGAGACAGCTATGTTCTTTGCGGTGAATACAGATGAAAGGGTAGTAGAGGGAGGCGGAAAGAGATAGAACGCGAGCGGGAGAAAGAGAAAGACGAGTGACTGAGTGAGAGAGAGAGAGAGAGAGAGAGAGAGAGAGAGAAGTATTGCCAGGCGGCGCGCACGGCATGAACGTCCAGTGGCATGTCTCAAACACTCGGCATGCTCGTAGCTGTGACGCGAGGTGGTAGATCGTCGGAAACGAGAAAATTGTCCGTGTACGAAACGTGAAAATATGGGATATATCGTGCGCAGAGAACGAGAAGTTATTCCTAGACTGTGAAGGTACGAAAGGTAAGAGACTCGTCTCTGTTTCACCGATCCGACCGGGAGATTGTAACAGCGGACAGTTCGCGGTATCATTCTCGCCGTCGTCGTCGTCGATCGCGAGTGCCAAGTCAAATGGGAACGCGAGAGTACGACTTATAGGAGGGAAAGAAAAAGGAGAAAGAAAACGGTAAAAGAGAGAGAGAGAGAGAGAGAAAGAGAGAGAGAGAGGGAGATTCCTCTCTCATGCGCGTCGAGAGGCGAGAGCGAGGGCAGCGTCGAGTTCCCACATTCCTGCGTGCGAAAAACGTCAAGATCCGCTGCTCGGCATTAGCATTACAGCGGTGGCTAATGCAAGGAGGAAAAGAGAACACGGTGAAACGTGGTTTGCCGCTGGTATACAGTGGTATACGGAGCCGGCGCTGAACGCGCTGAAAGCGCTGAACGCCCGTCGCTCGAAACGGGTCGCGGGCCGTTCCGCCTCCGCCACCGTCTTCTTCATCGTCGCCGTCGTCGTCGTCGCCGTCGCCGCCGCTACCACCGCTACCGCCACCGACCACAGAATACAGACAGCCGCAGACCCGCAGTCGCAGTCACGACGTCGCTATAGTATTCGCCGTCGGAGAGCGGCCGTCGAGCCTTTTGTGAATCCCCGCGTCAATCAGGTTATCGAACGATTACGATTGTCGATTGTTGATTACCGGTGCGTGTAGCGCACCAGTTGCTGACTCGAGCGCGTGCCGTTCAGTGCCGTTCAGTGCGAACACTGCGAATGGCTGGACCTTGAAGGTGTCGGTGTCACTCCGAAGGGAAGGGATAGGAGGAAGGATACTCCAATACTATCCGGAGGGGTGAGAAACGTGTGACGATACGTGTCTTCGTCGTCACGGTCATTTCGTTTGTCATTCGTGTGAATGATAACACGAGTGTCCGGAAAATTTTGACGTAAGGTGTTCTGTTTTGTTCGTTCTCTTTAATTTTCCTCTGTTGTGTTTAAAAGAGAGTTTCGAAGGAACGAGCGGGAAGATCGTGCCGCAAGATTTGAGAATCGGGAGACTGTGCGGCGCGGCGCGAAAAAGAGATTCGTGTGTCGCGAGTGAACGAGAGAAGAAAGTAAATAAATAAATAAATAAATAAATAAATAAATAAATAAATAAATCAAAAATAAATAAAAAAGAAGGTGAGATTGCTGCTGGTGATTGGTGATGATGGTGGTGATGGTACGCCAAGTGCACCTGATCGATGCACCCGTGCGAGAGCAAAACCACGACACTATCGCCGTCACCGTCCCCGTCACCGTCGCTCGCCGCCTCAGGCTGCTCCTCGGCGGCTGGCTGTGTTAACGGTGGAATTCCGCTCGAGAGGAATCTGAAAGGCGGGGACTCTGACGTCACTCATGATAATGAGGTATTCATGATGGCGGAGTAGTGCGCGCGAGTCAGAGAAAAAGAGAGAGAGAGAGAGAGAGAACGCGCGTACCATATGCGAGTGTACGCTCCTGATCACGCTTCTGTGTTTCCTCAGTGTGTGTTACAATACATTTTATCCGTCTTCATCGCTCTAGCGGAGCCGCCGCCGTTCGCCGTCTCGCTCGATCCCCTCCTTCCCCTCTCCCCTTCCCCCCGTCCACCTGCCCTTCTACGGCCGGGTCGGCCGTCCTCTCGTTCCTTCTCTATCCTTATCCCTTCTCTTCTCTCTCCATCTTACGCTTCGCGTCTACCTGTCCCATTCTCTCACCATCACGTCGCGACCGACGTCGTCGTGCCCGCGTGCCGTATATACGGCTGGAGAAGCGTGCGCTCGCGCCCGCGCGCACAGATATGCGCCCGTCGACCGCCACCGCACGACGATAGAGAAAGAGAGAGAGAGAGGGGTTTTGGATGGATTTAGAGCGCAGTGAAATATGCCCAGGAGACGGAATGGGGAGATACCGCTTCCGGACGGTTGGGATGTCGCCCATGACTTCGACGGGAAGGTGTACTTCATCGATCACAACACGCGGAAGACTACGTGGATCGATCCACGAGATAGGTACGTAAGAGAAAAAGAGGGACTCTTCTTTTCTTCCTATACGAATATGAAATACGATCGAAATAATCAGATGAAATAAATTTTCGGCAACAGGTCGTCCCGCCGATCCCTCGTGTATTATTAGAGTTACCATAACTGAATCACGAGAAAAGAATATATACAAGTATGTCTGTACTTTTCAAAGAAACATGATTCAGAAGGAGGTGATACTATTCTTTTATTTATTAAATAGTAGATAGGTATTTAATAAAATGAAATTTCTAGAAAATTATTTTTATGACAATTTTTCATATATTAAATAAGAATATTTCAAATTTTAATTAATGAAGTTTTACGGCTCATCAAAAAGAATTCAGTCTTTAATATTTCTGTGTCTAATGTTCGTGTCTCTGAATCAAATTAACTTTAGTCTCGGTTCAACTCGCTCTTCATCTTTTTTTAATTTTTGGAACTAGAAAAAGATGAACTAGTTGAACGAAGATTAAACTATTTGGACCTAGATTCCATTATATAAGATTAACTTTAATCTCGATTTAACTTACCATTTATTTTTATTTAAATTTTTAAAATTAGAAAAAGATAAAAAGTAAATTGAACTGAGATTAAAGGAAGATGTTAAAGAGAGGCTGATTTCTATCTATAAAAAAGTGTAAGTAAAAGGAATGATTTTTTTTTTGGTAGATTTTGATCTCCTATACGATCTCATATACGATAGTTATTAAAAAGTTTGTGACGTTTGGAGAACAAAAAAGCAAGAATATTGAAATTAAATTTAATTGAATACACCATGTTTGTACTCAATTTTTCGAGATGTTCCTTAAATTCCAAACTTTTTATTAATATTATTCTGAGAATCAAAATCCAGAGGTTGCTACAAAACTAGAAATCAGAGAAATTGAAAATAATCACATGAAAATGAGGGAAAGAAGTCAAATAAAAATAAAAATTCTTGAGTTTAAAGAAGCTTAATATACGTACATCACACTGTATTAGTCAACAATTTTACAATATTACCAACTTAACAATTAAATGCAAGTAGGTCAGCACTTAGTAATATTAATAATAATAACACTAAATACATTATGTTAAATTGATTGCTCAACAAAATATTTAACGGTTTCCAAACCAGGACGAAAACATAAAAAAATCTTAAAATAATTATTGAAAGTCAGAAAAAAATCATGAAATTTTGTCTGGAAATCAGGGAAAAGGATATTTTAGGATAAGGATTTGAGGGTGACATCCTCAAAATATATAAAAAAAAGCACTATTCTTCCTATTTGCTCTTTTTGGGAAAAAAATCGACCTTTTTTTAAATATCCTCCTTAATCTCTCTTACATTGATGGAACCAGGCTTCTGTCTTTCGCGACGTCTTGCGCGTCAGAGCGCGCGCGCGCGAGAGAGGATCGCGTGCAATCGCGTGCACATTGGCGTAAGTGTGCATGCGTTCGAACGTCACGACTATGCCTCCCCTCCCGTGCCCGCCGCGCACGAGACCGCGATCTCGCGAGGATACGCGATTCCGCGAGAATGCGTGTATACGGGGTGTATCGCGCGAGCCGCGCGCCGCGCTTTCTCCGTAGATTCTACGCCGGATAACGGCGGATTTTTTTTTCACCGAAGCTTCGACAGGTAGTTTGACATTCCGTTAGCAGCCGGTTTCGCATTCGATTTAGTTATTCGATATCCTCGATCGCGATGCAATGAACTATATAGTTTTACCAGGTAAAGATCTAAAGTTTACTTATATGAGACATAATCGGTTCTTACTTTAACAAGATCGTCCTAAGTAATGCAAATATGGCTCTCTGACCGGTATTCATAGTCAGATCTTATATTCAAGACCGTCTTAAGTATAATACGGCCTTAAGAAGTCACGAACCAGATTAGAAGGCTGTATTAGCGTCTTAAAAACATTACTTAAGACAGTCTTGAAATAAGACTCGACTATGAGTACCTCTGATTAGTTCAGGTGACATCTTAAAATTGTACTTAAGACAGTTGTAAATATAAAGACCGCGGCACAAATTTTTGTATAACAAATAGTGCATAAAAGAATCAGTCAATGAAAGTTCCTTTCTTCTGTGAAATGGAAAGAAAGGAAGGATTCTGATTGGTCGATTCTTTTATTATGCGTTATGCGAAAGTCTGCTGTATTACAGCCTTAAGAAACGACTATAAATATACCGGTCATAAAGTCAGTTCTCGATTCTTGTTGCACTTTTTGCATTCAGTATCTTTGCTTTCTTTCTCTTCGACATTCCATGTATATATTTATTTCATTTTTGGAGATTTCAAGCGCGAATAGATTTATAAATATTATCATTTATCTCACGAATTTCCTTAGAATTTAATTCATGGAAACCTATCTAATTGATAATTAGCTTACGGCGCGAAAGACTATTGACGCGTGGATAGGATACAGGAATAGTAATATCGCGGTTGCCAATCTGGCATATCTAACGCCTGTCGTGCAGAGAAAGTGCGCGACTTCCTAGACATCCTGTATACGTTCGCGCGCATAGCTCGCGTGCTTCGCAAATCGTCGCTCTGTGTGAACGCGCCTTTTCGCATTCGCATACTTTCCGCAAGCGAGCGCGAGCTCTCACTCGACGGATTTTTTTTTTTTTTTCCCCAGGAAGATATCGCGAATATGTTTTTTTACAACGATTTTTTTTTTCGCTCGTGTTGACGGGCGAACTGACAGCTAGACGCCACGCTCGGCATCGTGTGAACGCTGCTGAAATAGTAAAGTATGCATACGCGTGTGATATACGTACATACGTGCACCTATATCGCATTCTCGAGGTATCGAGACTGCATAGTTGCACATAGACACGTACGCCGATCGCGAGAGAAATTGATAACTAATTTAACAGGCAGAATCTTCTAATCTAGAATTTGCGTTTAATCGCAATTACGTCATTACCTCTTTTTCCTAATTATCTAAGGCCCGATTCCGCAAATGTAAGATTAACTTTATAATCTCGATTTAACTAAGAATTAGAAAAAAATATTATATAGATAATAAGTTAAACCAAGATTAAAAAAGATTTAAAATTAATTTTACATTTATGTGAAATCGGGTCTCTAATAAGTACTCTTTAAAACTTTTAGAGTGAATTTTATTTTGAAGAAATCTCGCTTTTAGCCAGTATTTATAGTCAATTCTTATTTCAAGATCGTTTTATGTATCTTGAGATACTGATATAGCTCTCTAATTGAGGAGCAGACTTTCAAAATGCATTTTGTCCAAAATTTCTTTTTTTTTCTTTTTTTTTTTTGGTTAAAGATGGCATAGTGTTCAGTGTTGAAAGATTCATATAAACTACTCTTGATGTTCAGGAAGCATTTTTTCATCGTTAATTTACATGTTAAAAAGGTATAGATATTTCGAAGTGCATTATGTTTTTTAACTAGAGATAAAGAAAATGCATTTGTTTAACATTTTTAGCAATTGTTTAGCAATTTGATTTAATATTTCACATCCTACTGATTAGCATATTATTATTTTCTGTAAAGTGCATAATTTTTTTGCGTACGGAATTTTTTTTCTTTCTCGTTTGAAAATTACAAACTTTGGACAAAACGCATTTTGAAAGTCTGTTCCTCAATTGGTTTATAACATTTTAAGATTGTATTTAAAACAGTCTTAAATATAAGAATGAACTATGAATACTGGTCTTAAAGATTGAAAATATTGAGCTACTCTTTTTGAAGATTGATTCAATTTTCACTCTTTAGAGTGAAATATATTCTACTTCAAAGAACTTAGAAAATAATAATCGCGACATATCATCGGATATGTCTTTGATCCTTACGGAGAATCGAAAATCTCTTAATGCGTTGAACAATCTTGAAAAAACTTACAAAAAATAGAAAGAATAAACAGTACTCTAAAATTTGCACTCAAAGAAATAAAAAATCTACAGTCATTAAATTTTGCATACCACGTGCAAAAAATTATTTCTAGAAAAACAAGAATTACAACATTACGTTGTATTCATTTGATGAAATTATTACAGGAATTTCGTCAGATGTTACAACTTCTATGGGACATTTTTTGAACCGACAACGATACAGATTTTTCATTTACGAAGGATAACGAATAGTCTCAGCATTGTATGATTATGCGTTATCATTTCAACGATAATGTCCTAGAAAAATATGTGCACTAAATTAATTGTGGATTAGTAGCAAAGTTGCTTATCATTAAAAAAAATATTCTGTCCCCAGATACTGTTATCAATTTTTTAACCGATAGTCGCATACCAGCGGCATACCTCATTTATGAGAATTCCAGGTGCGTGTTCCTTTTTTGTGTATATCACGTCATTGAGATAAATTTGCGTAAATTTACAAGTTTCATCTTGTAATTTTACTGCATCTATATGCAATCGTACATTCGTCACGAGCCACACAATTCCGTTGCCTATCCATGAAAGTCTAGATGTGTGAATAGACGGATCGAATAATGGTATGAACGTATCATAAATCTAAGCCTTGCGTTAAAATTTTTTAAATTGTTATAGGAATGAGATCCTTTTTTATTGCATTTATCTTTTTTAATATAATACAAGGCAATATAACGAAGACAAATGAGACAAATGTAAATGAATACAACAGTAAAAGAACTTACAAATTTTATCGTTGTAAATATTAAATAGCGTATAATAGTCTCATTATTGCATTATCTGTACTTCCAAATAACAAGAACATATGACTACTTGAGAAAATATTTTATCTACCGATTATTTTATCTAAACTCGTTGAAATTATTTACTCAACACGCATTTCCTTGTCGTCAAATATAATTTTCACGTAAGTTTTGCTTTAAAATGCGAGTTTTTAAATCGGTTTAAAGAAACTCTGATACCAATTTCTATTAGTGTAAATTAACTGTAATTTCGCGCGGTTCTATTAATTAATTCGTTTAATTCTTAAAACTAGAAAAAAACGGAGGATAAATTGAATCAAGATTAAAGTTAATTTACATTGA